TCATTGTGAACAGCACTGGGGAACGATGAGGAAAGAATGTGAATTTAAGATTAGGATTGCCCAGCATTGTTCTCCAATGCAAGGAGATTGAATAGCTGACTGCCTCCTAGAGGACTGATTTAAAATATCTGTTATCTTGATTTGGATCTGGAATTTTCAGAATATATTCCACTTCCTATTAACGAGATGGCCAATTTTGCCTATGAGACCATTGCAATTGTAAAGACCACACTGTGGTCAGACTGGCTGATTATAAAAAATGAATGTGGTGCAATGAAAAGAGGGAAATGTGTGCCCAAATTCAAAGATGACTGATGCACAGAGACACGATTGATGTAATAGAAATAGTTATGATCTTTGTCTTCTTCCAGGCTGCCTTATAGTTCATCTGTTAGGTTCTTTCTAAAGCCTGTGAGATCTCACTGATTTCAACTTTGGATTCTTAGAGTCAGTGACTTTTATGTGCAAACTGTTGGGTTGGGTAAGTGATCCTCGTTGCTAGAAAATGAAAGGATGAACAAGTGAGGAAAAAGAGATTTTGCAAGAGACAAAAAAGCTCATACATTTTGATACATTTGATACATTTCCTGGATCATTATCTGGTAGTAGGAAGAATATGTTTGTTTTCTCTTGTGAATGGAGGATTCTACAGATATTCATTCCTTACTCCAGAGTATACACGTTGTCCAAACATTGCCTTGTGTTAGATCATGATTCATCTGAAATGAATCCATTATGTGAACACGGGACAGAAGTTGCATTCTGGCATAGCAAATTTCATTCCACGTTCACCTAAGATATCAGAGACGTTGCCACTCTGACTATTCCTGCAGCTGAAGGGATCTTCACACTTCTTGCTGACTGGACACTGATCTTGACATGACTATGGAAGAAGGTTAATTTTGGTAAGTGCTTCTATTTTTTTTTTTTTATTATTTTTTTCCAGAGGCCAGTTGGTTTGCATAAAATGTTCAGATAGAAGAAATGATGAGTTATGTAGCTTTGCAAGATACAAAAAAATAAAAAAAAAGCAGGAGGAAGAGAGGAAGAGATGACTGCAACAAATAGTTTTTGTTGTAACAAAAGATATATGGGTGGCTTCCTCACATAGAAGGTATCTTGAAGCTGCTGAACCATTTCCTGCCTTTTAACATTTGGTCCTTGCAGGCTGCACTGCATCTCACTAGAGAATCCAGAGTACTAAGCAGTGATGAGAAAGGAGAGAAAAAAAAAAGAAGATATTGAGAAATGGAGGCAGCACAATTAAAGGCAAACTTCAAAGAAAGCTCTCCAGGTGACTAAGTAAGCTGCATCTGCTAGCAGCAGCTTTCCTTACACCTCTGAGTGGCCATTTTCTAGATTGCTTTGGTTTATGGTCAAGGATAAGCACTCCCTCTGGAAATTACTGAAAGCAGCATGCTACATAATCTCACAAGCTTATAAAGTTATATTTTAATTATGTTATTAAAGCTTTCTCATTTTTGTTTTTATCTGTTTACCTTTCTGATTCGTCTGGATCACACTGTGCTGGAACAGGAATGTTGTTCCTTTTGACTTGTGTTGTATGTTCATGTTTGGATGGGTAATAAGAATGAATGAAACCTACTGGCCAGAAGCAAATTGAAATTTATATCATTCTTTCTTCCAAAGAATTGAGGTTGGAATGGGATGAGGTGAGTACCGTATAAATGTTTTTAGTAGTAGGGAAAGAATGTCAACTTGGTTCATTATGCATTAAGCACCCAGACATAAGTTGGTGTGCAGAGGTTATAATCTCTGCACTCACCTTGGCACGTTCCTTCCATTCACAGTTTTCTCTTTCTTCTGATTTGAAATTCATCTGTGTCTGTCTCAAGGGACTCATTTTGGTAGGCTGCTTAGCACTTACCATGTGAGAAGTTATGCTAAATATTTGGAAAAAAATAAACTCTTTTGACTCCAGGAGAAGTCAGACACAATTACTACTGATTCTGGGGGAAGGAATAACTACATGTGCTACTGTATTTTATGGTGGTTTTTTTTTTTTTTTTTTTTATAAGAACTATATATTATCTGCTCTGAGTAAATTTCTGATATGTCTTTTTATTATATTTGGTCACAGTTGCATTATGATCCTGTTTTGTGATAGAATTCACATGTTGAGCTCACGTTGTATCTCTAACTGAAATCTGTAAGTGTTCACCTTTAAAAAATGTTAATGTTATTGTTACCAAAGAGTACAGGAGATAGTGCTGCTAGTGCTTAAAGTGAGATGTAGTGCATGACACTTTCAGCCATTGGTGCAGTTTTGCTGCAGTCTCCATTCTTTATCATTTACTTCCCACATCACACATGGCTGTATGACAATAGTGCAGTGACAAAGCACAGAGGTGAGCTGTAGGGATTTGTAAGAAGGCTTTTCTCTGACAGTAGAATGGATAATTGTTTGACTAACAAAAACAAACTGCAGAGGTGATTAAATAATGCACCTTCACCTGGTCAGACCCAAATTCTCAGCAGTGCGCATTTAATTTGTATTCTGAGGGCATCTGTTACTATATATAGACTCATGCACAAGGTTTTAAGAAAAGAGAACTACTGGTTGTTGTCTGTTATCTATTTTGTGTGACTGTTTCAAGATATTTTTAGTTTTTCCTACAATAATAAATGATCCTCAGAGCTTTGATCAACCTGATAGTACAGCGAAAAAAGAAGAGAAGAAAGAAAGGAGAAAAAAATGCCATCTGTCATCTTTGGCTGATTATTTTGAGCCCTACCTTGTTTTATACATTGCAGCCCACTATTTTAGGAGTTGTTAACTGTGAAGTATTCTATTCCGCAAGAGTATAAATCAGTTTACCTCTACGAAGTTCATCACTGCTCAGCATGTTGAGCCGTCGCTTTATACAAACATCTTTCCAACATAATCTCAGGATTTATTAGTTCAGTCAAGTCGATTTTATCCTGCTTCCTCAGCTGAACTGGTTTGTCAGTGTAAGACTCTGCTTTGTGGTCTTTTTTTTGTGAGTATATGGTAAAGGGGAGGGAATAGGGCTTCACTCCTTTTAACAGGAACATGTGGCACTGAAGGACATGATTAGTGGGCATGGTTGATGATTGAAGTAGATGATCTTAGTGGTCTTTTCTAGCCTTAATGATTCAATGAGCACTCCTATCTCTCTGTTTTTGGCATAAGCTCTCCTGTATTTTTTTGAGTGAGGCAGTAAGTGAAGCTCTCTACAAGTGCCAAAACCTCAAATGAGGCAGCAGACATTCATCTGAACAAATGCTTGCATTATACACGTGAAAAGAAATACACAGTGTGCTTGTTCAGGGGTAGCCCAAGACCTTCAACCTACCCTCACATATAGCACCCCCCAAAAAAACACGTATTGATGAAGTAGTGTCTTCCTGGGAAAGGCCCTCAAAGAGGTGCTATGTTTGCTCTGTATTCAGAGATGGAGATTATCTAAACACAGCTGCAATATTTTGCCTTATACCTGAACAACTTTAGTATTCTATTTGAAATTTTTATTGCTTCATAATTATTTTTTGAAGATTAAGGTGCATCAGGGCAGATAAAATAGAATCTATCCTAATTCTGTAAGTGCTGAAGTTGTCATATTCGTTACTTTTCATTTTCACGATAAAAAAAAAAAAGAAAGAAACACAGTGTTTTTGTTTCTCCAACAAGCTAATGTTTTCAATACAATTGGATAACAAGATTCCAGATAATTTTTTGAAGTCTAGGTTTGTTAAAACAATGTGATTAAAATTTGGATTAAATGAACGAAACAAGCAGAGATTCGGGAAATTATTAAAATTAGATCCTTTTATACTTTTTAAAAAGTGGAGGAATAAATGAAAATGGTCTTTCAGCCTCTATGTATCGTATGAAATGTCTAAATAGCCCGAGATATAATCTTGGGTTTGCGCACTTAAAACTTTGGAATGCTTGGAGAAAAACTTTTATATTGTCCTCTAGAATATAAAACTTACACGCATCTGAAAGGAAGAATTACAGATAGGCTTCACTCTTCATCTCCTGGTTTTAACAAGAGCATGTATCAGAACAAAGCTACTTTTACAACAGACTAAAACCCAGGTAAGAATAGAGCATACATGCAGAGCCCCAAGGGGATGAAAAATAGGAATTTAAGGCACTTTTCCAGGATTATTGGTTTTCACTTCACAGAGTGTACCTTGTGCCAAAAAATACTGATCGAATCCTATTTATCTCTTCTATGCTAGCAGCACTCTTAGCATGAAAAGTCATGACCATTACTCAAATACATTAATTAGAATGCAAGAAGGGAATATAAAATTCACTGTCTTTATTTTTTATCTAATTAATTTCTGATTTCAATTTTGAATATTTCAGATTTCATTGAAAACCAGAGGATTAGTGAATAACATTTCTACTACATACCTGCTACTTGTAATAATGTCAAGAAGTAAAGACCAAAGTGTGAATTCATGAGAGAAGTAGAAGAAAATCTAAGCAAAATATGTCTAAATGAGTCATTATTTAAACTTCTGTTATTTACTGCATAGGAATATAAACTAGAACCAATCATAACTCCTTCATCTTGTCACATCCTCTATAATGAAAAAAAAAAATAGTTCAGGAGACTGAAATTGACGTAAACCTAACAAAGGGAAGATAATATTTAAACACTGGCAATTAAAATTGGAATTGGAATTAAATTATTATGGCCAGATTATTATGGCGTCACATGAGAATACAATGTGCCTTTATTATAGGAACTCCATCAGAAAAACTATTAACTGTGGATCTTAAACCTTCAGTTTTTATATATGCTAATAGTCATTATAACAGGCTTGGCTGAGGCAAGCATCTAGTGTACTATAATAAATAGCTGTCATTCCCCTAGTTCAGAAAATACAGCACAACTGAACAATGAGAGACTGGAGACTGACATGAAGAAATGCAACATTTTTACGGACATCAAAAGGTTAGAAAGAAAGCATAACTTCACAAAACATCACTTGTTCATTACCTGTCCCAGAGAGTAGGTGAAGATTTTGCGAGCCTGCCCTGGAGAATTCTAGGTTGCCATAGGCAGGTTGGCACCCAGGAATTTCGTACCCTGCAGCATGAATAGAGGATAAACCATGGCTAGGTATGGCTCATAAGACATACGAGTGATAACCTAGCTAGATTTGCTGCATATCAATAGGCTATGGAGAAATTTGGCAATATCTTACTTTAAAACAGTGTTAAGTCTACAAAACAAGGTAGTGTTCTGGTGCACACATTGATTGATTTTCTGGTAGAATGTATATTGTAGGTCAGAATAGGCATTTAGGATTGACTTTATCATGGCTGTAAATGGATACTACTCCACCTACTTTTATTGAGGAGTATTTGCTCTTAAGATTTTGAATTGCAAAAACTCAGATTAAGGAAATTTATGCTTCATCGAAAGAGGGTCTCCAAAATTCCTTCTGAGCACCACAGTGAGAATATGTTTAATAGTTTTAATTAAATCTGGGCTGAGGTTCAAGTTCCACATACCAGGTTCCATGCACATCTACTGGCAGAAGAAACAATAGCTGCAAAATATTTGCTGGAAGTGAAAAGCACAAAAGGAAGCAATCTGAACAGCCACAAATAGCACACAGCAAAAGCAGATCCTGAGCCCAAGAAAAGGCCAACAGGACAAGCAAATTAGCAATGAGATATGTTGTCCAACATTAACATCAAGCAATACTGGTAAGATTCAAAATGCTCTGTTCAGTCCTCAGTCAAGCAAATTGTCACTCAAGTGAAAGATTGTTTTTCCTGAGTAAAATCTGAGTAAGAACAACAGTATTAGACCACACAGAATATGCCAAATGGTATTGTTTTATTGCTTTGCAATATTAGAAATGCACATTAAATGCCTTGAAGGATAAACAAAATAAAAGGTAAGGTTTTCCTAACTCAAGCACATTCATATTTATGAAACAGAATTTTTGCATTAATTTTCCCTATGGTCAGTGATCACTGTACATGCAGAAAATCCTACCTTGCAGTCAATTAGTGGTGACCTTTCGGATGTCCCTATGAGCACATCTTTACAGACAGGGATACATTTCAGGACCAATAGCTGTGAAACAGAGAGCAGCAGAGAAGCTCCATGGTTATGAATAGAGAGAACTCTGCTACTTCTGTAAGTCCACGTGGGAATGGGTTCACCTTAAGAACTACCAGCAGCAAGACCTTTTAGGGTACTCAGAGGAAAAGAACTATGTGAATTCCAGTACATCAATCTAGTTGTACCACCATACCACTGAGTTATTCATTGAGGAATGAAGGACTATTCCAAATATCTTTTAACTTCTGTGCTAGACTTGGATTAAATACATGAAGAATCAAAGGGAATACAGAGAAATAATAGATGGCTTGAAGTTTAAGTGCTGTTGTCACATAAACTTACAGCAATATTAATTTAATTCAAAGTAGAGCTGAGGACAAATGTCTGAAATCTGCACTATTTCAGCATCATCGATTCTTCAGTGAGTTGTCTGTATTACTTTGCATTATGTATCTCTAACAGCTTTCCTGATGTTCTCAGATGAATTATAAATCTCATAATCGATGGGTATCAACTTACTTAATACATATCAGTGCTGTAGTACTACTCTATGTATTCATTCTCAACTGAGTGGCAGGAAAACTGTCCATGGTAAGAATGGATATTTAAAAATGGTCTCTATCTGGCCATCTACTTTGTATCTGCATATGGAATTGTAAACTACTCCTAAAAATCAAATCTTAATTTTGAACAAGAATGAGGAATTCAACCACAGGTTTTTCCAGAATCAATGGAGATTTTTGAAACCATTGCATTTTACACATTTCTCCCTAGCTCACAGAGAAATCCTCCATACTAATTTCCTAACTTCCAAATTTTGAAATAGTTTTGTCTGGTTTTCAAATCCACAGAATTAATTAATGTGCTGTTCTTGAACAAAAAAAATTATCTCAGCATGGACAAATTTCTGCAGTCTTCACATCCATTACCTGCTTTATTCCACGCAGAGGTTGTTGAACTAACCTCTCTCATATGTTTTACTGATACACAGCAAATAGCTTTGGTGTAGGAAATCCTGATAGAATATTTTAAGTCTATGAAGTTGACATGATTTGATAGAGAGCGGAGGAGTGTAAATTCCACTTTAGTTGTTTGCTCAATGTTTTTCTTGACATTTTCAAACAGCAAGTCCTGTGTAATTGCTCCATAAATGAGATAATGTCATTAAGAAAAGCTCTGCTTGAAATGCGGTGGGTCTTACAGAAGCTCTCCAAAGTGACTTAATAACATCCTGTCTTCAACAATCAGTGTCTGTGGTAGTGAGTGTAATCACGTTTTCATGTGCAAGGTTTAAAAATAATCAGTAGCTGTAAGGTTTATTTATTTGCCAGATATTCAAAAACAAAACTTGATTTCTCAGCTTTTGCAGTTTACACGGGATATTGTTTTACCACAGGCAAATTAGAAATCAGCAAAAGTATGCATATACATATATTTGTCTAAGGAAACTATGAATTTTAAAGGAAAAATAAAGGAAAATTTTCCCACATCTGTCACTGTCAACAAACAACAGTTGTAAGAAAGTTGTAACTACTGAAAAATAAAAAAAAACTTATTAATTTTGCATGATTTTTATAGTCACGGAACAAAACCAGCAGTTTGCTAAGGGAAAAATATCTGGCCAACAAACATGATAAAGCATTTCAGATTACCAAACATTAAAATGACTTTTCATTGCACTGTAACATAGTGAAGTTACTTATTTTCCTTTCCTTTCTATAGAGCTTCCTTTATCTCTCACTGATGTGATTAAGGCAGACTCCTGTGACATGTGAGGCTTGAGCTTGGACATTCTGTTGTAGTAGTCTGTTTCCTTGTCTTGTCCTAGAACATTCAGTATGTTACTTCACATATTGTCTGTGGCTTATCTGACAATAATCACAGATGATATCTGCATATATATAGCCAATTTGGAAAAATAAAAAAATGGATTTCTCAGTGAAATATGATCAACACTTTATTTCTCTGCCCAGAGAGGAGTAACTACCAATTCATTTGGATGGGTGGCAGAAGGCCAAAACTTTCCCCTGTGAAAACTCAGGCGGATTTTCTGTAGATGGGAAAAAATATGTCCTGGTCTGATCTTAGTTTAAACTCAGTGTGTGACCTGAGAGAGTTTTGAACGCCACCCTTAAACTGGGTTGTGCTATTATGATTCCTCTTCTTTCCCAACGTAGCCCAATTTTGACCCAGCATGAAAGATCCTAAGCAGGAGAATAGCTATTTTTGCTATTATTAACACCATGTAGCTATTTCAGGGACATGCTTTTGTAAACACTAATAACCATTGACAGAAAAAGCTGGAAGAGCTGCAGGGACACCTTGGAACATACTGTCACGACTCTACCTCCATATTCCGTCCTCATTGAAGGAGCACGTGGTGGTCGTGCTGATTTAGCATCACAGACTTGTGAGGTGCTGTCAGCTGCACTCACTACCTACTTTTCTACCAGCCTTGCCAAATTAGGTAACTGGCTGTCATCTTCATGGAACAAAGGCTGGAGCTGATAAAAATGTCAAACAATCCATTCTTTGTGAGGGGGTGGCAATTCTATTTCTGGAGTTACCTAGAACTATCTATGACCACAGCATTAAATAATGTAAAAGTGCTGCAGGGAGTTTAACAATATATCTTCATGAATATTTTAAATACAATTTCCTAATTGAGAAACAGGCTCCTATGGAATCATATATCCCCCTGGTTGAGCTTATGATCTGGTACCAAAATGACATTCTCCCTCATTCTCATGTTTCTTTCTTTCTACTCCACTCTTCTAACAAGCTACTGTCATGACTTCTCTTCATCTCCAGCTTCACCCACTTGTTTTTCCCTTTCTCGCCAGTTACTGCAATCCCTGTTCAATTCACTTCTGGTATGGCCATGCTGCTCTTGGTACTTCAGCATTAGCTTCAGCATTAAAGCTCATCCCTTTATCTACTCTTGGGAAGCCAGACGTTATAAAAAGGTTCAACTGCCACAAAGAGTCAGGGAAGAAGTTTTGCTTGGTCTCAAAAACTCTTAGCTGGAGCATGCTTAGCTGAGCTTTATCTACACAGAAGTTAGTTACCAAGCTTACATATGTTAATGTTAATGACATACCTATTTTTTCAGATTCTTTTAAAATGAGCAGTTCTGAGTGTTGGTAAATATGTTATTCCTAGCACCTTATAAGGTTTCCTTTGCATATTTTAGGTCTTTACTCCAACTCAAACAGCTATGAAGACTTTTTTAATGAAGAAAATCATAGTCTATTTTTTATCTATGATTAAAACAACTGTTTTTCTTTTCAGTAGTTATATTTTTGGAAATACCTAAGCCATTTGAACATACAAATATGGCATACAGCAATCTAATTAATACAGTTAAATTTTGCAAAGTGTTAAGCATTCTCTTACTGGAAAATTGAGTGAACTCTGCTATCTGTGATACCAGGTATTCAAAACTAACATACCTACCTATTTATCTATATTTACAAAACTGTATGGCATTTCTCTGTGAAGTGTGCATATGTATGTACAGATGTGTATATATGTATGCATATGTATGCAATTTAAATCCGCTATCTTTAGAAAATATGTGTTGCTAAGTAGTATATAAACCTTAGGGTTAAATGTTCATTCTTAGACTACAAAAACCCAAATGAGCAATCATCTCTGTATTAGGCATGTCAATAGAATGGTTGTGGTGTGTTTGAAGCTACCTGCAATGTTTTATTTTGTTTGTTGATGCCTTCAGCTACATGTGTAACTAAAAAAGAAATTATGTTCCATTCAAACACCAGGCAATAGGTTCAGTACAGCTGTTCCAAAAAGATGCAAGGATTTATGACTAAATGAATTAGCGAGCTTTGTGTTCTTAAAGTGTGAACATTTCATACCCTTTGTGAACAATTCCACAGGAGAAGACATGAGTTAATCGGTTTTACATAATTTCTTATAATTAGAAACTGGTTTAAGCTCTCAAAGAATCCCTGGAAGCACTTTATTTCCAAAGTTTTTACTGATTTTAG